TCACTGCCCTGTAGTCAGAAGTTCTTTGTTCTCTTGCTGTCAATCAAAATTCTCTGTACCATGGCTCTCTCTATAGTAGGCTGTGTGTGTGTGTATGTGTGTGTGTGTGAGCGTGCATATATGCTTACAGATACACATGTACCACAGCGTGCAAGTGGAGGTTAGGAAGCTAAAGAACACATTTTTGAGAGTCGGTTCCCTCCTAATTTTTTCCCTATAAATTTATTAGTCTTTTTGTGAATGTATCTGAATGTGGGTGTGCATATGGGGGTCAGGGGGTGGCTCTGAACTGTCTCTTTCCCTCTACTCTGGGTCCTGGGACTTGAACTCCGTTTGTCAGGCTTGTGCAGCAAAAGCGTTTACAAACTGAGCCATTTCGATGGCCCATCCACCTTGTGGTTAAGACAGGCTCTCCTTTGTTGTATATTCCAGCTGCTCTATGAACGTCTATGTAATTCTCCTGTTTCACCGTGGGAGTGACGGGATTACAGATGTGAGCCATGTGCCACATCCGACTTTTTATGTGGGTTCTGAGGGTTGAACTGAGGTCATCAGGATTTCATGGCAAATTTGTCTACCTGGTAACACATCTCTCTAGCCCTGATAGCGCGCTTTTTAAAGGACACTACAGGGACTGGGGATGTGGCTCAGTAGGGAGAGTGTTTGCATAGTGTGTGCACAAAATCATGAGTTCAATCCACAGCCAGCACTGTATAAATCAGGTACGGTAGTGCACACCTGTAATCAATACTTGAGAGGTGGAGGCAGGAGAATCACAAGTTCAAGGCTATCCTTGCCTACAGAGAATGTTCAAGGGAAACCTAGGCCCTGTGAAACCATTTATAAAAAACAAACCAAAACAAACAAAACCAGCTTCCGAAGACACATAAATAAATTAAAACAAATAAATAAATAAATAAATATGTCCTCTTTTTGGTCCCCAGAACAGTAAATATCCTAATCATGTATCATTTAACATATAGAAAACAACTAGCAATATAAAAAATTTATATCTGAAGTAAGGGAGAAAAAAGTGAGTAAAACCATTATCTATCAGAGAAACAAACAAACCAAAAAAAAAAAAAAACAATAGATAATGTATCATGAGACACATCCAAAGGTAATCATTACTTAGAAATGTCAAGGAAAGTCAGAGAAGAAATACCTTTTTCCCCCTTTGAGACAGGGTCTTACTATGTACCCTTGGCTGGCCTCACACAGATCCTTTCTGCTTCCTGAGCGCTGGGATGAAAGGTGAGCGCTACCACACCAGGCCCCAAGAGAATACATAATTTAAAACACTTACAAAGTCAGAGAGTTGGCTCTGTATGTAAGAGCGCTCGCCACACATTCATGACCATCATAGTTCAAGTCCCAGCTCCTACTCCACAAGTTGGGTGTTTGCAAACTTCTATAACTTCAACTCCAAAATGGGCTGAAACTTGGAGGGGGCAGTCCTCTAAAGCTTGCTTGTTTGCTTCCAGAGTAAAGCCCCAAGTCCTGGTACAGGGACAGACCCTGCCCTAAAGGAATAGTCCACACTTATACTAGTGTATGTCACCTGAGTATGTGCTCATGCACACACACACACACACACACACACACACACACACACACACACACGATGGAAACAGAGAGATGGCTCAGTGGTTTGGAGTGTTTGTTGCTCCTATAGAGAATTCAGGTTCAATTCCCAGCACATACATGGTGACTCATAACCATCTGTACCTCCAATTCCAAGAGGTCAGACTCCCTCTTCTGACCTCTCCTGTACCAGGCACACATGTGGTGCAATACATAGATGCAAGCCAGAAATTTATATGTATAAAATAAAATATAGAGCTCTAGAGCAACGACAACAACAGCAATAAAGCCCTATTAATAGCCTTTCCCCAGAAAATACGGAATTTGAGACACAATTGGCTGAACTGTTTTTATTAAAATCCCTCATGTACTATTTGGTTCTTTTCTGTAAAAAGTAGTTACTAGGAATACTGATTTGTTTAGGAAATTTATTTTAATTTAAAATAAAAATAAAGTTGGCAATTAGCTCCCAGTGGCTAATTATCTTATGTGAGCATGTCTCAGCTGTGGATGATTTTTGTCTCTCAAGGGTCTTGGGACAGTTCTGAAGACTTTGCTTGTCACAGCCTTCCTTGCTCAGTCTCCCAAGTGCTGGGATTAAAGGTATGCATCACCACATCTAGCTTAGCTCCCGTTTTATAGAAGTAAAAACTGAAGGTAAGAAAGAGAAGCATCCCATAGCAAGGAAGGCTGATGTAAGTTTAAAGCCTGTCTGGTCTATATAATAAGACCTTTTCTCAATGTATATATGGGCTGACTGTGTGGCTCACCAGGCAGCAGGTGCTCGCCGTCAGGCCTGATGATCTGAGTTCAATTGCTGGGATTTACTGGCGGAGAGAACCAACGCCCGTTGGCTGTCATCTGGTGTGCACATAAGTACTATGTCGTGCATATTCCTCTCACCACCCAAAATCGCACAGAAAATAAAATGTAATGAATTGAGCAATTAAAAACTAGGTATGCTGTTGCACACCCCAAATCTCAAAGTTCAGGAGAGAGAGACAAGAAATTCAAGGTCATCTTTGGCTGCAGAGTGAATTTCTGGCCAGTCTGGGACATATGAGAACTTGTCTTTTAAAAAAATAAAACAAAGCACATAAATAACTAGAAACTGTAGGGGTGGCTCAGTCAGGGAAAAGCTTGCAACAAAAGCATGATGACTGGAGTTCAGATTCCTAGCACCTACGTAAACATCCAAGTGTGGCAAAGTGTGCCGATCTATAACTTCAGTTCTAGAGGGGAGGAGACAGGAAGATGCCTGGGGTCTGCTGGCCAGCCAGTCTAACAGAACCCTCAAGCTCCAGGCCTGTGAGAGACCCCGTCTCAAAAATTATGATGGGATGATAGGAGCAATTGAGGAAGGTATTTAACACTCACCTCTGTTCTACACACACACACACACACACACACACACACACACGCACAAGCACACACATGTAAAAATGAATGCATGCATATACATATACACAACAAAAAATAATAAAACAAAACAGAATGGGGGCTAACCTCTGAATTGTTTCTCGAAAAGACTGAGCCGATGCCTGTAAGGTACTGAGTCTGCAAATTAAACATTCAATTTATATTGGTTGTCATTGTTGTGTCTGTTATATTCCTCTCCATGGCAAAAGATGATGAAAAAATATACCCCGAACTGACAAGTGGATTCCAGGTCCCTTCCTTCCCTTAGGGGTTATTTTTATTTGCTTCTAAACCAGAGGCGTTAGGATGTTCTTCCAAACTCTAGTCCCTCAGGGGGCATGGTGGGGATGAAATGAACTGAGATAAACAATACCAAGATAAGTTGGTGTCCTGATGCATACTTGTCAAAACCGAGACAGGAGGATTGTCTTGAGTTTGAGCCCAGTCTGAGCTATAGGATGAGTCCCAGGCCAGCCTGACCTACAAACTGAGACATTGTCTTAAAAAACTGAAGAGAAACAACAAAACAGAAACAGGAGAATGAAGAGAAAGGAAAACTAGTGGAATTTTTTTGAGAAACTGGGTACCCTGAGATACAAAATCAGGTAAATGATGGAAAGAGGAACATAGGAGTCCTCCATGAGTCCCCAAGATGGAGAAATGCCCTGGCAAAGGTATGTTTAAATGTCAGCGAGATGGCTCGGCCCATCTAAGCATCTGCCATGCAAACCTGACCACCTCAGTTTCACCTCCAGGACCCCTGCCGTATCAGGGGAGGGTCAACCTTGCATGTTGTCCCCTGACCTTCACACGCAAGCCATGGCACACACCCTTCCTCACTCACATGCACACTACACACACGCATACTCACACACTAAAGAAAAGTTTCTGAAACTTACCCGTTGCTGGTCTCTCTCCACAAAGAGTCTTCTTCAACCCAGCTCTGCCTGCAACCCCTGGGTGATTTTGAATGAACGGCCTCACATCTCAGAGTCTCAACTTGCCCATTTTAGCAACGATTTTATAAGAATTTCATGAGATAAAGTAATCCATAAGCTGTCTAGCCCAACACAGAGACAACCCCTGGGCTAGTTCTTAAGATTTTTGTGGTTCGCCTCCACCATGTAGCTCAGGCTGACCTCAAACTCCCTGTGTTGTAAAGGACAACCTTGAACTCCCTATCCTCCTGTCTCTACCTCCCTGGGACCCCAGATGTGACCACCACATCTGGCTCAATTTGTACCGTTCTCCAAAAAAAAAAAAAAATGTGTAAAGTGACTTTTCAAGTTTTTCTCATTTTATCTGAAGATAACTTTGGTCCCTAGAATGGCTAAGTTTAGGACAGGAAATGTTTGGTCCAAGGTCACCCAGAAGCAAAAGGTCATCTCTGAAATTCAGACCAAGACCAAAGTTATAATCATCAATTTTCTGCCTCAAATTGGCCCAACCCATACTCACTGGTTAGTTCTAGAAGTGACAGCTATGTTCAAAACTGTTGCCTAGCTCTCCAGCCCGGTCCTGGATACCTTTATTTCTCCTCTTTGCTCCTTAACCTGATTCTGGTCTCGATGGGAACCGAACGGCATCCTCCTTTTCCATCAGGGTTAAACTACGGTAGGAGCAGAGGGTACCAAGAAAAAGAAAATTGTTGAGAAAACTCAAAATGCTTGCTATGCTTGTAAATGAATTATGGTTCATTTAGAAGAAATCTTTGGCCCCGTTACTTGGGGAAAGAGAAAAAAAGGACCCTGAGAAGTTGAGCTTTCCCTTGATTTTTTTAGGAAAAAGAGGGGAGAGCATTCCTGGGGTCTTTTTAAAAAGGCCCTCCCCTCATTTCCGGCCGCCGCTGCCAACCTTGGCTGGGCGCCTGGATCCTGTTGCTATGACAACAGGAAGAGGCGGTGGCGGCGGCAAGCCATGCTGAAGAGATGGAGGCTAGTGGGGGTGGGGGTGATGGCTTTGAAATGGGGGTGGGGGTAGGGATCAGGGGGATGGGGTGTTGGTGGGAGAGGGCAGAGGTGCCCTCTATTTCGGCCTTCCTCAGTGCATCTGAACTGGTCCCCTTTCCCATAATCAGTCTCTTTGTCTCTCTGTCTCTCTCTGTCTCGCTGTCTCTCTCGCGCGGTCTCTCTCTCTGTGTCTCTCCCTCACTCTCTTCCTTGCCCCCATCCCCAATTTCTTTCTCACCCCTTCCTCAGTTTCTTTTCCTTCCCATCCTCTCAGTCTCTCTCTTCCCACCGTCTCTCCTCCCTCTTCTCTGGATGGACTATCTCTTACTCCTATTCCCTTCTGTTTCCCAGACCCCGACCCCCTCTTCTTCGCTCTCCCCCACACCCTCCCCCAGCCTCCCCCTACCCTTCTATTTCTCCCTCATCTCTTGCTGTTCTCTCTTTGCATCTCTTCCTGCTTCTGTCCCCTTCTCTCTCTGGATATTTCTCTCTGTGTGTGTCTCCTCAACTTCCTTCTGCTACCAGTCACTGCCTCCCCCAAATTCTTCCCTCCCCCACCTCTGTTCTCAGTCTCTGGGTCTCTCTCTCTTTCCGATTCTCCTTGTCTCTCTCTGTCTCCCTCCCTCTCTGAATCTATCTCTCTTCTTCCTCAGCTTCCTCCTGCCACTCAGACCCCGCTCCCCAACCACTTCCCTTCCCCCCAATCCCTCTCCTCTCGGAGGCTCCCCCATCCTTCAGCAGCTCCCCTCCCCCTCCCTCTCTCCTCCCTCCTTCTCTCTTCCAGCTCCGCACTTTACCCAGCGACACGAGAACCAAATTGTCTCCTCACCTTTTTTTTTTTAAAGCCCGACCCTCTCATCCTTACGGCCCAAGCTCCAAGCTACCCCCAGCTCCCCTCCCCCTCACTCTACACCCCCATTCTTCATACGCCTCATCTCCATCCCCTCAACCAGGTCGGACGCCTGGGTCCCTTGCTGCAGGGGGAGGGGGAAGCAGCGAGAATTGGGAGCCCAGAGGTGTTTCTGGGGGTGTGCTGGCAGCAGGGGCTGGACGTCCCTCCCCAGTGCATCGGAGAGTTGATCTACCGTTAACTGAGGTGAGAGATCTTTTTATTAATCGGAGGTGGGTGGGAGTAGATTTAAGGTTCCATGAATCCCCCTAATTCTGGGAGGAAAAACACCTCGTCTCTCAAACGAAGGACTATGACCCCCCTCTTTTATCCAGAATCTTTATAATTGGGGGGTCCCCTTTTCCTTTCTCCGTTGCAGATAGACTCAATGAAGAGTCCCCAAAGCCAAACAGATTGTCTCTCAAATTGACAAAAATGAAAAGCTCTTAAAATCTTTATGGATGGAGAAAGTCCCTCCTAGTCCCCTTTCCCCTTATCCTGGTTGTAGGGCCCACGAGGTTTGGGAATAAGGTACATGTTGGGGTTAGAGCTCATGTCCGTGGAAGCAGCAATTTGTTAAGGCAGTGGAAGAGGCTGCTGTGGTAGTGGTGAGGGGCACAGGCATGTCCAGAGGCAGGAAGAGGGAAACTCCGTCTGGGTTAGGGACCAACCTGGAAAAAACGGGAAAGCTGGGAATGGGCCCAGGAAGGGGCTGTGTGTGATGGTGTGTGTGTGTGTGTGTGTGTGTGTGTGTGTAGGCAGGAACACACGTGTGGGGACTAGGCCCGTTGCCATGGAGACACCCCCCATAGACAACCTTTCTCTACAGCCCCTCCTGGGAGCAGACCCAGTACAGGGCCAGCTGGTGGGGGGGGGTGGAGCTAGAGAGGAAACTGGGAGGCCAAGGTCACCCTGTACTGGGACCTGGGGTTTCTAGTTGGTGCCTCTCATCCTTGGAGCTTCCAGACTCCTTCTTCACTGGGTTTTGGGAAAGGAGTCAGGGGAAGAGGTTGAAACAGGTGAGGGCAACACAGCCAGGAAGAGGCACAGCGGTGGGGATCTCATAGAAGGGAGAAATGAATGGACAGGGAGCAAACTGTCTGGAACTGGGAGTTGTAGTTTCGTAGCTTGCTTTCTTTTTTTGTGTGTGTTTCTTTTTTGGAGATGATGGGGGCTAAGTTTCTGCACAGGTGAGACTGTTATGAGGAAAGACTGGGGATGTTCCAGAGAATCTGCGGGGCCTGAGGAGGGGATTTTCCTTGGTGAGACAGATGCTGAAAGCTGTAGTGTGTGGAAGAAATAGGCAAAAGGGAAGAGGATTCTCTATGATGTTAAAACAAAAGTTGGGGACGACAAGTTTTAATCTGTTAGAGTGTGGGGTTCAGAGTCACCTGGGAAGATCTAGAATTGGTAGACTACTGAAGCTGTAGCGAGATGTCTCTGCTGAAGGCAAGAGCCAAGGCTTGCTGGGCAGAACAGGGGAAGGCGATTATATTTTGGGACAGTTTAGATATTAGAACATTTCTGAATGGGAGGGAATTGGGGTCTGGAGAAAGCAAGTCTGTGAGTAGGAAACCTTGTGAAGCTCACAGAGCAAATTTTTCTTAATGGAGGAGAGAGCAACGGGAAAGATGAGTTTGTGTGAGTTGTAGGGAGAACGGAGACAAGGTTCCAAACACTGGAAAGCAAGACAGAGGTGGAGTTTTCTTTGAGTCCAAAACATAGCAGGCCTCTGGGGTTGGAAGGGAGATGGGTGAATGACCCACTAGGGCCAGGGGGGGCTGCGAGAATCCGAGTGGTAGAGATTGGGGTGTAATCTTCCAAGCCTAGGGGATCTGGAAATTCCCCAGGGAGCTTTTGAAAAGCCCTAGGTGCTTGACCACATTTCAGACCCATTAACTTGGGATTTCTCAGGTAGGAGTCCAGTATCAGAATTTTTATTTAATCTTCTGGTACTTCGAAGATGTATCCAAGGTGGTAAGGCCAGTCCTAAGACACAAGGGCCTATAGAGAGGAAACCGAGGAAGCCTCAGTGCCACTGAGCAGATACTGTACATCTGTGAATAGTGAGGGTCACTTGCGAAAGCTTGTTTTAAGCTAAGGAGAGACTGAGGGATTCATTTTTTCTGGCTAAATTATAGGAGACATGCAAGGTGTCATTGAGTGACAAAAACAGGGAGGGAGGCATTCTGTCAAGGAGGGGAAAAACCAAACCAAACCATGGAATTAATGGGCAATTTTTGTTTGTTTTTCTTTAGAAGTAGCCCAGGCTGGCCTCCAACTTGCAGTGTAGCCAAGGACATCCTTGAGCTGATCCTCCTGCCTCTACCTCCTGAGTGCTGGGATTACAGGCATATGCCACCCTGTCCCGTTGATGTTGTGGTTGCGATCAAATGCAGGGCTTTATGCAGGTTAGGCCAACACCTACCGGGTACATCTGCATCTGAGAGTGTGGTTTCTAAATTGGAGAAGTATGAACAGGCTTTTCCTCAGCAGTGCCCTAGAGCCTGTGTGTGTGTGTTTATGTATGTTACTGTATGGGGGTCAGGGGAATTAAGCAGTGAGAGACGCAGGGACCTCCTTAGGAGGAGCTAACAGTAGAGTTTGAATCAAGGGTTGGGTTCCTAAGAGGGCAGTGGGGATCACAGGAGAGGAATCAAGGGGGCTGGGTCATGACCTCTGAGTATATGGGCTGATAAAGTACAATCTTTCAGTAGAAATTCGCAGGAAAGGTCGGGTGATGGTAGCGCAGGCCTTTAATCTAGCACCCAGGGAGGCAGAGGCAGGCAGGCAGGCAGATCTCTGTGAGTTCAAGGCCAACCTGGTCTACAGAGTAAGTGTTAGGACAGGGTCCAAAGCTACACAGAGAAACCCTGTCTAAAAAAATCAGAAAAGAAAAAAAAACCCACAAAAAACAAAAAGAAAGTTAGAAAAAGACATTAGCAGTTAACAGGAGAGCAGTTTTGAGCAAAAAGAGACCATCTCAACAGAACTAACTCCCTCTCTTGCCTCCACCAGCTGGAGACCATGGCTTCACTCTGACCTCCGCCTCCGCAGCCACCTGCTTGCTGCCTCCATCCCCTCTGGCCCCTCGAGGCCCCCGCTTCTGCCTGTGTTGTGACCCCCCCCAGCCGCCGGCACGGCCCCACCTCCGCTGCCCCGGTGGTGGCCCACGGCCCCCCGGTTGCCTGTGGTCAAACTGGAGTCATTGAAACGTTGGAATGAAGAGAGGGGTTTGTGGTGTGAAAAGGGCGTTCAGGTATTGCTGACCACCGTAGGCGCGTTTGCGGCCTTTGGACTCATGACCATCGCCATCAGCACTGACTACTGGCTCTACACACGAGCTCTCATCTGCAACACCACCAACCTCACCGCAGGTGATGATGGACCACCCCACCGTGGGGGCAGCGGCTCCTCGGAGAAGAAGGACCCTGGGGGCCTTACACACTCAGGCCTCTGGCGGATATGCTGCCTGGAAGGTAGGGTGCAGGAAGGCCCTGGCTGGCCACCTCCACTGAAGCCTGTGCCTCCAGCAAATTGACGGCTAATGTGTTCTGAGTCTCCATCTCAAGGTCTTCAGGGGTGTGCTTCCCTGCTGGAGCCTCTGTGATTCCACGCATTCCTCTGCCCTACCTCCCAACCCTTCTTCTGTGCTTCTCTTATTTTATTTGATGATGTGGATGGATGCGTCACCTGTAGGTTCGACTATGTACCACGGGCATGCTCCGTAACCTTTGGGGTGGGAAAGAGGGTGCTGGGTCCTCTGGAACTGGAGTTAGAGATGGTTGTGAGCCGTGTGGAATTACTGTACACGTATTTCTGTGTGTCAGTGTTTTAAATACGTGAATGTGTTCAAATACCCATGCAAGCTTGAACAGAGCCTCTGATCCCCTGGAGTTAGTTATTAAAACCTTGTAAGCTGTGCGATATGGGTGCTGGGAACTGGACTCTGGTCTTTTGGGAGAGCAGGGAGTACTCTTCACTACTGAACCATTTCTTTGGCCTCCTTAATTTTTTTTTATCCTGTCTATGTATCTATCTATGTATCCATCTATCTATGTATCCATCTATCTATGTATCCATCTATCTATGTATTCATCTATCTATGTATCTATCTAGCTATGTATTTTTCTATGTATTCATCTATCTATCTATCTATCTATCTATCTATCTATCTATCTATCTATGTATCCATCTATCTATGGATTATCTAGTGAGTGCTAGTTCCAGTGTGAATGTGGAAGGCAAAGGCAACTTGAAGGAGTTGATAATCTCCTCCCACTGTGTGGGTTCCAGGCTGTTCCACTCAGCAGCAAGCAGCTTCACACACAGGCCATCTCACCTGCCCTGCCAATTCTCGTCCCTTCCTCACATCTTTCCTCTCCTGTTGGCTTCCAGAATTGAAACAAAGCTATGCCTCCTCTGGTCTCTCTTGCTCTCTCTCTCTCCCTGCTGGAGGCCGTCTTCTCTTCATCTGCAGCGCTTAGCAACTTTCCCCATCAGAACGTCTCCCAAGCTCACATCCTGGTCTTTCTAGTTATTTGGACAGTTCTGCTCCATCTCCACAGCCTCATGCCTTCCTAGCGGACTCCTGGGATGCTTCCTCTTCTCTGACCCCTTGTTTCTCCACTCTCCCTCCAAGTATTTTCTGTTTTTGGGTGCTGCTTTCAGGCTCAAACCTATCTCCTTCCGGACCCTTCTTGTCCAGGACACCTGCTATCTTTCTCTTCGCTCCTTCTCTATCCCATCGTCCATGTTAGTAATTCTTTCATGCAAATTTCCTGTATATCTGTCATGCATATAGAGGCTGTGAAGCAAGACTCGGGGTGCTTTACCATGTGACCCCTGTCCTTCCACCTTTCTGAGCCTTCTCACCCTCATCTGTGGCACTGAGGATGGATCAGCAACCCCGAAGTTCCCCCTTACCACCAAGAGATGAAGTTTTTACACTTTTACTTTTTGTCTGTCTTATGTATTCTATTGCCCCTGATTCCTCTGTCTTGTCAAATCACTTGCCTCAAGTGAAGAATGGGTGGGCTTTGAAGATGAGTCCGTGGAATGTTTCATACTGGAAACCAAAGTCAGTCACCAGCGTTTCAAAGCAGGGAGACTGCTCCCTAAAGATCTCACCTCTGGCTTCCGGCAAGCTATCACAGAAGATCTGGTGTTCAGAACTGACCCCTACTGGCCCCATTTGAGTAGCAGACACTTTCTTAAATCTAGTTATGGAGTCAACCAGTTGTTATAGTCACCTCTGCTCACTGTCATCCCATGTCCCTCCTCTTCTCTGGTACCCCCACCCTACGGGACATGCCACTAACGTCCACTCTTCGGCCTCACCAGGGCTGAAGTACAGAGCCGTATATGGGAGTTTGCACCGGAACCCTCCTTGAAATATATTTCATTCATTCATTCATTCATTCATTCAATCAATCACTCATTTATCTGTGTGTTCATCCATCCATCTTTTTAAATTGACTTTAAACTGTGTAGCAGATTCTGTACCTTTTAATTTTGTATGTGTGTCAGTATGGTTTGAATGTGTGTTTTGGTGTGTAGGTAGAGGTCAGAGGAGAGCTTGTGGGGGTCATTTCTCTCCTTCCCCCATGTAAGTCCATGGAATTGAATGTAGGTTGTCCGTCAGCCATCTCCATGATCCCCAGGTTCTCCTTGTTGAATCAAGAGCAATAAGGGACAGAAACCACATACAAATCTCTGACTTTAAATATCTTCTGATCTGAAAGGAGAAAGACTAATGGGAATACTAGAGAGAGAGCAGAAATGGAGAGAGGGGTCATATCAGGGTTATGCATGTGAGTTAATTGAGAAGGATGGGAGGCGTTTGTTTCATACAGCAGTTGACATTGGTTGGTGGCCTGAGAAAGTGAGGTTGGAGATGCATGGATGTATGGGCTGTGGAAATAGGGGCTGCAAAGCCTCTGAGGTGACCATGAATCTGTGTTGGCCGCCAGCGGGAAGCCAGTGTGACTGGCAGACAGTAGGCAGGGAGCAATGCATGGTCAGAGAGATAGTAAGCTCTTGACGTCACAGGCTCATATGTATCCCACAGAAGATCCAGCTTTTGCCCAGAGATGGGAGCCATTGGAGTCTCTGGAGTAGAGAAGCCACGGGAGTTGGCTTAAGTTCTAGCAGGATGGCTCTTGCTGCTTTGTTGAGAAATGGCTCAGGGGAGGGTGGAAAGGGAGAATGTGGGAGCCGTGGTTTGAATTCATAGTATATTCCAAAGTTCCCCGTGGGAAGGCATTGCTGATGGAGCAACTGTGGGATCTGAGATGGAGAGACGGGTGAGGGGTGTCTTGGAGGCGGGGCTTCTGAACCTCCGCCCCGGTGACATTTTGGGACTGAGGATTCTGTGTGGCGGGGGCTGAGCTGAGCATCGTAGGATGTTGATCTGCTTCTCTATTCCCTGTCTAGTCCCGCCCACCCCCAACAGTTGTGACAACCAAAATTGTAAATTGTCTCCATACATTATCTACCTTCCCCTGAGGGATTAAAAAAAAAATCACCTCAGGTGAGAAATCCCACGTGATGAGGAAGTTTTGGTCAGAGCCACTTGACAATGGGGGATCTGTTCATGAGAAGGAAGAGCAGGGCATTTTGTTTAAATTCCTTTATTTTCTCTTATTTCTCTCACTATTAAGGAGGGATATCACTGGCTCAGTTGTGAACGTGTCTGCTTTAGAATGCTTGCTAAGAAATAATACCAGTGATGGGAGAGGTGGCATTCTCTGAAGGGCTAACAGCATGCAGAGGGGGTAATTATTTCTGGCTTTGTGGAGCACACCGTCAGTGTTGCCACTTCTAGTGAAAACATCCATTGTACCCCCGAGTGTGGCCGCCATCTAGCTGAGTACCCTTGGTGGACGTCGGCATTTGAATTTTACGCCCTCTGCTTTGCTCTTCCTTTCACCCCCTCTTCCCTCTTTCTCTCCCTTCCTTCTTTTCTCCTTCTCCTTCCTCCACCTCTATCTCTTCTTTCTGTGTGTTTTGGTTTGGGTTTTTGAGATAGGGTCTCACGTAGCCTAGGCTGACTTCTAACTTGCTATGTGGCCAAGGTTGGACTTTGTTTTTAAACAGGAAGTCTGTACAGTCTCTTTAAATTTTATTTGTGTTGCATTATACTTATTTATTATTGTGGAGGGGTGCACACACATGCCTGCCATGGTCACATTGGTTGAAGTCAGCAGATAACTCACAGCAGCTAATTTTCTCTTCTCTTCCTACCGTACGAGTTCCAGGGTGGAGCTCAGGCCATCAGATTTGACAGCAAGCACCTTTACCCAGTGAGCCATTTCCTCAGCCCAGACAAGATCCCTTTGTCTCTGTCTCTTACGTGGCTGGATTATATAGCACGACTCCCCATACCTAGCTTAAAGTTTTTGCTTTTGCAACAAGGCTATGAGATGCAGCTCAGGCTAGCCTTCAGTTCACAGCAGTTTTCCTGCCTCAGCAAGCAGCCTCAGTACTGAGATCACAGGTATGAACAGCCACACCTAGGCTTTTCCCCTAATAGATTGAATCCAGGGCCGCATGGATGCTAGGAAGGCATTCGATCCCTTAGCTGTACCCTCGGCTTTCTTTTTATTTTTATACAGTCTCACTGACTTTCCCAGGCTGGCCTTGAACTTGCAATCCTTCTGCCTCAGCCTCCCAAGTAGATGTAATAAAAGGTTTGTGTCAAAAGATCTTGCTGAGTTTCATGCCATTTGAGATACGAGGAAATCACTCTTCTTGATACTTTACAAAGTGAAGAAACCATTCTCAGTTAGGTCTGGTCTGCTCGTTGTCCTTCCCTCCTCTTGTTCTGACCTGTTAGAGACGTGCTCTGGGAGACTGGAGTCAGCAGCCTGGCTGGAGAAGTCTATGTGATGAGCATCAGTGCGTGTGTGGACCAGAGTCACCGAAGAGAAAAGGAAGAAACACAACAAATGACTAAGTTCATAAAGTGCTTTCTTTGCAAATACAAGGACCTGAGTTCAATTCCCAGAACTTACATAAAGAATTAGATGGGGGGGGGGGGCTGAAGAAATGGCTCAGTGGTTAAGAGCCCTGACTACTCTTTCAGATGACCTGGGTTCAGTTCCCAACACCTGCATAGCAGCTCACAACTGTCTGTAACTCCAATTTCTAGGGACCCGACACCCACGAAAAAAACACCCAAAGTCAGACATGGCAGCAAATGCTTTTCTGGGGCTTGCTGGTCAACCTAGCCTCTAGGAAGAGGCTCTTTCTCAAAGGAAGTAGCATACAATAGAATGACATTTAAACAAGCATAAGAAAAATCAAACCAAAAACATTTGAAGCCAGGCATGGTGGCCCACTCCTACAATCCCAGCATTCTGGAGGCAGGATCTCCAAGGCAGGATCCATACTCCAGATGGGCCTGGGCTACATAGCAAGACCTTGTTTCAAAAGGAAAAAAAAAAGACAGTCAAAATGTGTTCTAATTTCATTTCTG